CCAATCAGTGGAGGGATTAGGACCCTGAGCATGCTGTTCCTGAAACCATTCCTTCACCTCAACTGACAGAAATTTTCTAAGAAACCTCCCAAAAGTCTACACAACTACTGAGGCACACAGCTAGGGTTCAAACACAGTTTGGGAGGAAACAATCAGGTGGCATGCTGCTGTGTCGTTGTTGTTCACTAATTATCCTTGAGCGAAAGTGAAAGTGAAGTCACTCAGTTGTATCCGACTCTTTGCGACCCCATGGACTGTAGCCTACCTGGCTCCTCCATCCATGGGATTTTCCAGGCAAGAGTACTGGAGTGGGTTGCCATTTATCTTTGAGTAGAGCTCCACAATAAATATAAGGAAAGTGATTAAGTTTATGCCCAAGTATTTCTAGAAAATAAGGAGAGAATACTAAACCGTGATCTGAGAAGAAAGAGGACAAAAAAGCTAACCCTGACCATATTGCAGATCCCAAGCTGGCCCTTTATCCAAGATAATTTCACTCACCTTTCTGATAACAAGCAGAGCAGTAATACCCAACCACCTCCCCCTACACACACACTGGAATCACACACTTAAAGACAAGGGTCAATGGGGCTAAATTCTGGTTACACAGCAGATAAGAACAAGAGTTACAGAGGAAAAACCAGGTCTGCTGAACTCCAGGTTAGTGCTCTTTCACGACAGTAAGCTGCCGGATGGTGCTGACTAAAATCGCCCCCAGGTATGTCTGCTAATGCTGGGACCCACTCCTCTACCACAGGCTTCCACTGGGTGCCCTAAGGCCAGGATCACCACAAACGGTGTCAGCTGATCCTCTCCCTCTGGCGGCAGATAATGAACCTGAGAATATACATTCTTTCTCTTTGGTCCTCCATCAAATTCCACTCCCAGAATAGGCACCTTTGACAAGCTGTTTGTGTAGTGACACAATCCAATAAAAATGAAATGAAGGAAACAACTTTATTTCTCACTACTTTCATCCCCTCCTTATTTGAACTATGAATACTCTAGTTGCATCTCATACATGGCCTGTCTAGAAACTCATTTTGTGGTGAAATATGCTCCAATGTGACTTGTTTGTGAATCTGTCTGACTTACTTTCAACAGCCTGGGTCAAAGAACTAGGGTGATAGGTTTTTGAAGAATTATTAACGGCCTCTTAACATTCTTTATGCCACTCTTTGTCATGATAGATGTCTCACATTGTCAGGTGTTTTGTTTTTTTTTTTTAGAAAGCAAAATGTCTGCCTCCCAAACCACCTAAATCTTGCCAAGAGAAGAAAAACGTTTCTATTCTGTAATACCAGGCAGTAAAATGAGAAATATACTTATGACAGAATGTCAAATGACAAAGCAGGATGTAAAATCATATGAACAGCATAATCTCAAGTACATATATTACCCAGGAAAGTCAGTTCAGAAGAAAGTAACTTAGAATGTTAATAAGTTATTTTTAATTTTTAGGATTATGCATGCCTATCTTTTCTAGCTTTCAGTAGTAGGCATCTGTAACTTTTAAAAAGTCTAATGAAACTATTAAAAAAAGAAAAAATATTTATTGTTCATATAGAAGCCTAAAATTATTGTGTTTCCTTACCACCAATATCATTATGTAAGGTTATTAACTTTGACCTATGTCAGGCACAAAGACTGTTCAAGAAAAGAAAAATATGTACCAACCTTGCTGATGAATATAAATAACAAAATATTAAGTAAAATATCAAACCAAAACCACAGGGTACATAAAATATCATAAACAGAAATGAAAATTAGAAAATCTATCAGTGAAATCCATGAGTTATTGCTGATTTTAAACTAAAAGAAAAAATACATGTATAATCATTGAAATAAATATAGAAAAAGCATCATAAAATTCAACATGAAAATTCAAGATTAAAAAAAATAATTCCTATAAGTGATAAATTAAGGGGAACTAACAATGAATATTAAAAAAAAAAAACTTAAATATCACACTGACAGGTAATTTAAGGCATTTCCATTAATTTAAGAAAAAGTTAAGGATATCTACTGTCTACTAAATATCATATTAATGATTCTTTACAACCCCCCCAGACTGTAGCCCACCAGGCTCCTTTGATGGAATTCTCCAGGCAAGAATAATAGAGTGGGTTGCCAATCCCTTCTCCAGGGGATTTTCCCAACCCAAGAACTGAACCCAGGTCTCCTGCATTGCAGGCAGATTCCTTATCTGAGTCACCAGGAAAGTCTATTGTATTAACAGGCTGAGACAATATAATAAAATAAGAAAAAGAACAAATATTTAAAGCTTGGGAAGAAGCCTGAAACTTACTTATAAGGTTATATATTGCTTCTTTAGAAAATCAAAGAGGAGTCATAGAAAAATATTAGTAAAAGAGTTTAGTAACACTATTATATTCAAGATTCAAGACCAATGAATATATAAACTACTTACTTCCTTTTAAAGTTCTACTTATTTTGGCCCAGCTAGCAACATTTATTTAATGGAATACTTATACAATCCCATAGCCGAAACTAAAGAACAGGAAATGAATTAATCCTATTACCAGCACATTCTTGTTCTCTCTTTTAATGTATATGTGTGCTTTCCTTGTGCCTTGGTCCAGACGAGGGTATCAAGAATAAAAACTGCTTAACACTGTTGCATAATCACAAATAATTGTAAAATCTTGTTCTGGACAAATCAGCTATATACTTTTTAAGATCCCCTTGGGTAAGCGAAAACAATGTGATCACTCTGATAAAGATGAGAAAGAAGAGGAGGATGGAATGGGAAAGGCAGAAGAGTAATAGGAAAAAGAAAGCAGAGGTGGGAAAGATGGAGAAAGATGACAGGGAAAGAAGAGGATGAGAAGAAGGAAGAAGAGGAGGGGGAAATGGGAAGAAGAGAAGAAGATTACAGATAAACTTCTTTGAGTTTTTAACATATGCCAAGTTCTATATTAAGTGTTTTATTGCCTTATTTTAATTAATCTTCCTAGTGAGCCTCTGAGCTTTGTAATATTACATCTTCATTTTAAGGGAAAGGAAACTGAGCCTCAGAGAGGTGAAGTCACATGCTAAGGTCACACAGTTGGGAAGTAATATAGAGGAATCTGAATCCAGCTCTGCCTGCCCAGACTTCACAGCATTCACAGTATTCCTCACTAGAGGATACTCCTTGTACTGGTATTCTGTTGATTCTAGAGCTACTAAAGACGTGAAGATAAGGAGGAGTTCAAAAGGTCACCTTCACAGTGCCATTCCAAATCTTCAACTAAGCCAATGTTCTGAAAAACCTGAATCCTCTCTTTAGAATGCTGCAGGTTTTGTGTATTTAAATTAAGAATGAAAAGATATGCATTAAGTACAATTCTAACGCATTAAGCATTCAAGAGCATAAGTTTAGTGGAAAGGTTAAATTTGAAGCAAAAATATAACTTGTCAGTTTCCAGTGAGAAAGCATTTGAATTCTAGTACATACCGGGCTCTGCAATAATTTTTTTTCCATGTAGCAGTTCTCCTAAGACCTGTTCTCTCACTTGCTTCCCTTCTATTATTCTTATACTCTCATGCATAAAAAGCAAGGCTTATATTAGGTTTTAAAGGATAAAATAGACTTCTTCCAAAATACTTGTGTTTCAAATAAACATCTAAAGCAAAATTTATAGTCCTTCTTAGGGTTCCGACTGTCCAAGAACTGCATATGTATTACATTTATGTCCTTAGCTTCCTACGGAGCATCAGACAATGCCATCAGAAAACATGACTGGGCAGGCATGGCTATGCCTCAGACAAATCACTGCCTATACAAAGCAACCAACGACAGCTTGTTTGCAGTCCCATGCTGACAGATTTTAAGACTTGAGAGAGAGTTCTATTAATCCTCTTCCACGCAGTCTTAAAGACAAGGGAGGAAGAGAGATGGTACAGACAGGAAACACACACCACACCACAGACACACACACGTATACACCAAGCAACAAGTTGCTTACACCTAATTATAGCAAGGAGATATGGTCATCAAGTCATAGGAACAAATCCTCCAAAAATCATGAACAGCGATAGAATTAGTTTATTATCACACTATGCATGCCAGCTGTCTCTACCAGATACCTGTGCGCCTCCTCTATGTCAGACACTTTCTAATTGTCGGGAGTTAAAAGGGTGAACGAAAGATCCAGCTCTGAGGAGCGTATAGTACAGCTCTCCAGTGAAAATACAGGGTGTTTTTAAGCAAGTGAGATACTAAAAAAGTGCTAGTGAAACAAAGAAAAGAAGTAACCCAAGTTGGGGAGTAAGGAAAGACCCTCCAGGAGCCCTACTAAGCTCAACCCTGAAAAACAAGTTAGGAGAAGGTCAGTCGAAGAAAAAGTGGAGAGCAACAAAAGGGTTTAGGGCTTAACTGGTAGTCCAGGTGCTCTCAAAATCTGGTCTCTGAACTACCAGCATCTACATCATCTGAGAACTTATTATAAATGCATCTTGGGCCCCACCCTAGACCTAATGAACCAAACACTCCAGGAACGAGACTTAGCAAACTGTGTTTTAACAAATCTTCTAGGTCATGCCTGCATGCCTGGAGTTCGAGAATCACTGGTATTGGGCTGGTCAAAAAGTTTGTTCATTCCATAAGATTTACAGAAAAATCTGAACAAACTTTTTGACAAACCCAATACATTCAAAGGTGAACTACAAGACACAGAATGCCTGGAATGCAAACAGGGTTGGGTGGGGATGTGGCGCAGATTTAGGCAGTGATATTGCTAAAGGGATGGAGAAAGAGGTAGAAGCCAGGTTAAGAAGGGCCTTGTATATTATGAAGATTTTTTTTTTCCTTTGGATTTTACCCAGAGGAGGATGAGCCACTAAAGCATGATACTGTGAACACAAAAGACACCAAATAATGCTGGTGACTGTAAAACTGTATGCAATCACAAAGACAGTACCAAACACTATTCCAAAGACCGAAACCCCCCCTGCACAATAAGTAGCCATTGGGAAAGGAACAGATTGAGCCCTACCTTTCTTTTTGGAGTCTTTCTTGGCGCTGGTTTTCACAGCTACTTGAAGTTCTGTCTCAGTTGACATCCTACTAAATCCTTAGTCCACTTCACACAGATCGCGGGCCTTGGCCAGGCTCATTGAGGACTCCCCTTCAAGAAAATGACTCCTCCTTTCAGAAACGACACCCCGAGTTGCACATTTCATTCACTCCTTCCGAGTGCTGCGAATCAAAAGAAGAGAACACTCAGAATAACCACCCTGGTGAAGTCAGAAATTAGAAGGGCAAAAAGGAACTGTCAAACATGCAAAAACAGGAAAACCTTGGTCTCCATGAATAAACTGCCCACGTGGTTTCATTAAGCCATTGACAGGGCTCATATGCTCTCAAGCAAAGAGCTTGAGAGGGCTTATTTGCAAAAACTCAAACTAGAAAACACATAGCAGATCTTTAAAACACTGGACTTTCAAGAAAAGCAAAACCCAATGCTTTATTTTCCGTGTTTCTTATTGCCAAGCCTGGAAAAGCACTCAGAAAATGCAGCACAGACATATTTCCTGAGCAGCCCCGTGGAGGCATTTCCAACAGTGAGGCACCCATCCATCAGGCAAGCTTGACCAGAGCCTTGGCAGCTGAAGCAGATCATAGGGAAGTGACCTGTGGTCTGTCCCTCACGAGCAGGCATCAGAGGGGACATGCAGTTGACATACAATTGGGCTTCAAGGGTAAGGTGACAAATGGGGCTGAGAAACTTTCCAGCAAGCCAATTTTTATGTCAGCTTTTCCCCCCAGCTATATGAGCAGACAAGCATTTAATGTGGGGAGGAAAGGAGGAAAAGCAGTAGGCAGACACACATTTCATCCTTCTTTCTGTAATAAATATGCATTGCACACTACTAGGTACTATTAAGTTCAGACACTGTGCTGGGAAGAGATAATAATGATAATAATACCACTTCAATTACGGCCAGTATTTACTATACATTTACTATATGCTGTGCCCTCAGCTCCCGCTGCACATACATTATCTCATTTGATTTCATTTAAATTGAATGAATGTATTCCCGGCGTCAAGTCAACAATCTTTCGCAGTGACTCTCTATCTCTGATAGTTACATGTGAGAGTTCAGTTGAAAATAAACATTCAGAAGTTATCCATTTTAAAAGAATATTAAGATAAAGCTACAGGAAATGGATCTTCAAACTGTGCAGCCAATTCTTAGCTCCTGCAATAGATCTAGAACTGTTTAATCTGAAAAGGGTGACCCGGAATGCCAGTTTCAGCTGAATAAGAATAATAACCCAAGCCCCTTAATCATGCCAACTAAAGATGGCTTAACTAGAAAATCTTTAATGTAAAAGGCACACAAAAATTTAATAAGGCTTAAATATGGGGAAATTCACACCTTTATCCAAAGATATCTTGTTTGCTTGTTGTTAAACTATTTTTTAACAAGGACAGTAGCCCTGAAAACTATAGGACCTATGACTGCAACTAAAGAAAATGGAATATTACTTTCCTAGAAAGGGGTACATGGAAAACTATGTTGAAAATGAGCACTTTTCCCACCATTTTTGTGCCATCTACCTGTATCATGCCACTAAAGCTCTCATCTCCTTCCTAACCTCCTGCCCCCAAAAGACAACATTCCATAAGAGATGACAGAGTCACAAAATTTGGCCCTATAAGGGAATAAATAATTTTATTAATGATTTTACTAATTAATTTTATTAATACAGTCCCTTCACTGTAACAGATATCTACTAAGAACATAAGAAGGGCCAGGTGCAAGTGCTGGCTCATTCACATCAACAGATGTGTACTGCACAACCATGCAACCCAAGAGTACAGAGTCAAAGCCTCTTGTCCTCAAAGAAGCTCAGTCGAGCAGAGGCCTTAGTCATGTAGGAGAATGAAATACACATGATCAGAACCAAAACAGACTGGGGCACAAAGGAGCAAGTTTTTACCTTTGTTTGAAAGAGTCAATAAAGCTTCACAGACATGAAGCTCTGCACTGTGTGATCTTGAAGAATGATGCTTTCGTCAGGTGGATGGCAAGGGAAAGGACCGATGGGTACTCATGCATGTGTAATAAGTGAATAAATGGGTGTCTCAGGCAGAAGCATCAGCATGTCCAGGGAGGCTTGAAGTTAACAACCAAAATAACAAAAGGAAGCAGAAGTCTAGTAGGGAGGTGATACACTTTCCTAACTTCCCAATTTTCAATTGTGCTATTACCTTTCTGTGGAATTTTTCAAGTCTGCCTTGACATTCTCAAGGTTCAGTTCAAAGAGGTATCTTAGGCAGAAGGATTTTCTGATCTGTCTGTTAAATGGACCTGTAATAGGGAAGAACAAATCTGACTCCATATTGGATCTGTTTATTTTAACCTTTGTACTCTATTATTTTTGCTATAAGGTAAGAATGTTGTCTATAGCCTGAAATAAACAGGATAGCCCATTCACAAGGCTCTGACCTTTAAAGGTGTAACATTTTCCCATTCATACAGAGATAAAAAGTTGCAAGGCAGAAAGAAACATTTGTCTTGTTGAAGGTTTAGAGGAACATTGTGACCTGACCTACATGGACAGCTGCAAGAACAGAGGATTAAAACACCCAGAGGTTTGCAACAACCGACCACACACCCTCACCTTTTAGTATAAAAGAAGCCTGAATTCTAACTCAGTTAAGATGGTTCTTTGAGAAACTAGTCCACTATCTTTTTGCTCTGCTGGCTTTCTAAAGAAAGTCACTATTCCCTACCTCAATAACTTATCTCTTGATTTATTGGGGCCTGTTGTGCAGCAGCAGAATGAGCTTTCACTGGTAACAGTGCATCTCCTTTCTTATGATCTGATTCTTGGCCATCTTCATAGCCTGAGCCACTTACAAGCAATGTGATATTAAGGAAATGCTGACCCCTCTTTGCCTAGTTTCTCTACCTTTAAAATGGAGTAACAGTATCAACTTCATGGAATGGCTGAGGAAATTGTGATCACACCTCTAACATGCTTGGAAGAGTGTCTGACACATCTCCCCACAGGTACTCAATAAAGATTGCTACTGCTGCTAAGTCACTTCAGTCGTGTCCGACTCTGTGCCACCCCATAGACAGCAGCCCACCAGGCTCCCCCGTCCCTGGGATTCTCCAGGCAAGAACATTGGAGTGGGTTGCCATTTCCTTCTCCAATGCATGAAAGTGAAAAGTGAAAGGGAAGTCGCTCAGTCGTGTCCAACTCTTTAGCAACCCCATGGACTGCAGCCTACCAGGCTCCTCTGTCCATGGGATTTTCCAGGCAAGAGTACTGGAGTGGGGTGCCATTTCCTTTTCCGCAATAAAGATTAGGCAAAAGTTTCCTGTGTTCTGAACACAGGAATACAAGGTCACAACACAGACTCAGGGTCATATTGCTATCCTCTTTTTACAGAGGAGGAAACCATGGCAGGTTAAGTTTCTAAAGACAAACTGCAGGAAATGGTAGGAGCTAAGATATTTCCATCATGCTGGGCTTGCACACAGTAGGTACCTGATCCATAAACACCGACATGGACTGAAATATGCGGGTTTTAAACCATTTCAAGCACTCTTAAAAGTCAGTGTATAAAACTGGATTAGATTTGCGCCATTTTCTCTCCTTTGACTTTGTAAACCATAACACAGCACCTCTGTCTATTCTGTGGGCATCTCCAGTGTCCCACTTGATTAACAAAATGAGATTGTGTTCAAGTGTTATAAGCATTACTTGTGAATTCCTGAAGTACATCCCCATATCAATAAAGAAAGGAAACTAGCATCATCTCAAATAAAAACATGCATAAGGAAGCTTCAGTAAGAAGAGCACATTCCACGGCCAGGGCCCTGGCATTCCCTTTAATTTTCCAAAAGCCAGAGGTTGAGCAAATGCTGTGAAGTAGCTCCAAATTATTTAGGAAATTCGTTTCTTTGTAATTAAAGAGATTAAAGTCCTCTAGGGCCAGAAACCATGTGACAATTCAAATCATTTTTCCCCAGTAAAAGCTGTGAAACCCTATCAGTTAAATTCAGGCTCGCCTAGAATTTTGAAATGCTTCAATAATGTTTCTTTGCTCCACACAATCTGCAGTAATTTAATATTCCTGAAGTGTGTCAGGTTTTTTATAATGAGCTCTTCAAATCTAAATGTGAATTATGTAACATTCCACTACAGACATTCTGTCTACTGAACTGCTTCTAAATGTAAAATCCCATGTTCAGTGATGGGGGGATAGGGACGGGTGGGGTGCAAAAACACCAAACCACAAAGCAGAGAAAACAGATAGGCCTTTTTTGATAAAACAAAGCACAAAGGTTTGAGCAGCTACAACAGAACACACACACACTAAATCACCTACTATAATACACGTTTATGTTCACTCTCCTTCCCTCCCGTCCTCATACAATCCAAAGGTGAAAAAGCTAATTTTATGAGGACCCACTATCTGCCATGGAGAAGGTAATGGCAATACACTCCAGCATTCTTGCCTGGAGAATCCCATGGACAGAGGAGCCTGGCGGGCTACAGTCCACGGGGTCGCAAAGAGTCGGACGCAACTTAGTGACTAACACTACTATTGCTACTACTACTGTTTGCCAGGTTCTCTTCGATGAACTTCTCATGTATTATCTTACCCAATCCTTCAGGCACTTGGAGTTATATAGTAGTAGTATGTTCACTTGGCAAATGAGAAAAGGGAGGCACCAGTCAGTTTAGTAGCTTATTCACAGTCACGTGGATAGCAGGCTGAAGAGCACCAGGCAAGGGTACAAGCCACTCTTCTCCCCAGTTTCACTCAAAACCGCCTTGGAGGCCCATCAGCTGGAGAATTAATTAACCAAATCGTCTATCCATACGATGCAATATTACCCAAGCCATAAAACAAAATGAAAACTTTAAGACGAAATGAAGTGCCGATACAGGCTGCAAGGTGGAAGAGCTCAGCAAACAACATGCTAAGTGTAAGAAGTTAAGACGAAAGGTCACTTACTGTGAAAATGGAAAATGATTCCATTTTCCTCCAGACTATCCAAAACAAATAATCCAGAGAGAGATGGAAAGCCGAGCA